ACCGTCCACACACTAAGTAAATACAAAGGAAGATATTTATTAGTAGTAGTGATATCCTATCTTGATGATAGAAGAAGCCGCACAGCGCCATGATCCTAAGATAACTGGATCTTAATAGTAAACAACGAAATTGATAATTAAACACAAACAGATAATTGGTTGAAGTCACGATTGATAATAATACCAAGAAGAGCCCGAAATATACGATCGTGACAACGCTTTAACTGGGATTTATCCTTCTATAAGGCAATCTATAAACATTGGTAAATAATTATATTTAATGATCTATATCTTTAGTCAAAAAAATAACTAATAATTAATTACCCATTCTCTGCTACTAAATACAATTATTTGTAATCCACGATGAATGATTAGGAATAATCCTGTCAGTCTCTCTGATATAATTATAATTCAAAGAGTTGTCCCTAAAGAATCTTAACGCAGAAATAAAATCACTAAATTCAGATTCAGTCTCAAAATTACTAAATTCAAATTCAGTTTCAGAATCACTAAATTCAGACTCAGTTTCAGAATCGCTAGATTCAGACTCTGTTTTAGAATATTCTGAATAATAATATTCACTTAGATCAATCGAGGTATTCTGATCAGAAAACTCAATCAATATAACTTCCCTATCTGAATTAATTGCGGTAAATTTAGGAAATAATAATTTATAAAATGTATATAATGAAGGAGATACTATATCAATATTATTTCTTGTGTAATATAGCATTTTTTCTTTATTAACATATCAATAGATTCCATTTCGTCCATCAATCTCATGCCCCAATTCCATCAACCATACATTTCCTAAAACTAAAGCATATTCAGATTTATCAACAACTATAAAATATATATATGATTTTCCTAAATATGAGGAGATTTTCAACTTGAAGATATTGGATAATATTTTCTTTATCAGTCCAATCTCTTACCATTACATTCTTGCCAGTATTTGTTGCGCCAACACCAAGTTTTTCCACTACAGGATATCGTGATCCCCACTCTCTAAAAATATATAAGTACATTTTTTTGGCAAGTGCTTTACTGATACTAATATACTGGAATTTGGGATCAATAAGTGCTTTAATAGTTGTTTTACTATTAATGAATAAGCAGTCCACTATTAATCTTTTGCAAATTTCTCTAATAGCTTCAGCTTTCCATATATCATCTAAACTATAGCATTTTTTAAGATCTTGGATTGGAAGATACTTCGTTATAAATGGTATTAATTCTGGTGAAAGAAGATTAAGTAAATTAGGCATTGCTAATTAGTATATATCAAAAATAACTAATATTCAGATAATTAATTTAGGCACATATTATGTATTTTCTGGGTATTCTCAATTATACTTAACCTCACAACTAGTTCCATCAAGCAATGTAAGAGTTTTATTTGGGAAGTCCACTTTCATTGCATTTTTCTGGAACCACAGCTGACCCAATATCAATACAGAATCAAATTCAGATTTATTGATAACGAAAACATCAGTAATTTTTACTTGTTTCCATTTAGGACTCTGAGACAGAATTGAAATAAGAATTTTATGAATTATTCCTACTATATCGAGTTTGCCAATGGGTGTGTATATTTCTACATCAGAGATATCATCGATTTCTAAACCTAATTCATTATCACATCCTCAGCTATAATATTATAATTGCTGACAGTACCTAATATAGTTTTAACTGGTATTTTGTTAATTTCGCAAGATAAAATTCTCATTATGTTTTATTATAATAATATAATTAAATATATTTTTTTCTGTGTATTAATAATAAATCAATTAAAATCCAATGGTTAATAATAGCTGTGAAACAGTAGCCTCTGGCAATAATAGCTTGAAACTAGTATCTAAACTTGTTAAACAGATATCACATAAAAGAATTTTGATTTCTCTTTATCAATTACTGGAAATAGTGAAACTTGAGATTGGATTAGAGATTATTGACTTAATAGCAAACCTGAATATTTCTCGAAAAAATCATACACCATCTGAGACTAAAAGAAAATACAAAGATAGAAAAAAACTAATTTTTAACAATACAATATCTGAGTCCTCATCTGGGTTTGAATCGTCTAATGATGATGAAGATTTTACTGTAAATGTGATAAAAGTAAAGAAGTGTAATTAGTAATTATATAAGTCTATAATATCTGATATCTTAGTATTTTCTATTATGAAACAATGAGCTTCACTCTCTCTAATCGCTGGAATAATTGGTCTATCATTCATTACACCATAATGTTCGACTGATGAAGCATGATCTATCTTATGCCTACATGCCAATTGCTGTAAATATTGACGGCCAGTATTATTCTTACCTCCATATACTCTGGAAGCATGATCAGCATCTATTTTTCTTAACATATATGAGGTAATTCTATGGCGACTTAAGAATTGATTAAGAGGTGCAACATTAGTATTCTCATTTTTATCTTTTAATAAGAAGGGAAATTTATCCAGTATTGATCTTTGAATCCAGATAAGTAATTCTCTTGCTCATATTAGATTTTTTTTCATTGAAAGGAATGGTCGGGGTTCTTTTACTTCACCTTTATTTTTTGCATAATCAATATAGTACCAAGAATAGTCAAGATTATACTATGACTCATGACTTGGTTTGTATCGATTGATACGAAGATTTTTCACATCTGCTAATCGTATATATAGCATTATCATTATGTCTATTAGATTTTTCATTGAAAGAGGCTTGGTAATATTATATTCATTAAGTCTTTTCTGAACTTTTTCCAGGTAAAAGAACTTGAAACAATTGTAACCATTAATTCCATAAAGTATACGTTTTCTTGTTTGAATCTGGTTTGCTTCTTCAGTAATAAAGAGTACTTTTATTGCCTCAGTAATGAGATAGTCAGCTTCTAAGCTACGCAATTCTTTCCGTAATAAATTAAGACAAGAATTTTCTGCAATAGTAGTGGGAGCAGAAGAAGCCAAGTCATATGCTATTCCATTTATCTCTTCAGGTAAGAGATCATTTTTTATAATATCTCGAGCAATAACTTTGATAGGGTCTCTTCTCTCAACATGTCTTCCAGGAGCTCGAATGGGGATAAGAGTATCAGCTTGCTCCTTATTTAATTCTAATTCTTAGAAGCGTCTTTTGGCCTAATCTTTGACTTTTCGGGCCTGTTTTTTTGTTTTGCTATCTGAAAGTTTATTAGCCAACTCTTCGGCATAACTACTAAGCTGGGGTAAACTAGTTTGAGGAGTCAATTTGTAGTAATTTACAAATGATATAGCGATTTTTGTTATGATTAGTATATGTTGGTTGAGATGTTTTATATAGACTACTTTTGTCTGATATATATTATAGAGATTTTTTTTTCAAATCAAAATTAATTATGCTTTTTCCTCCCATGCTCAGAAAAAAGATGGTATATGCCTACATATGGGTAACTGGTTATCAGTTTAAAATTTAAATCGTTCTTTGCATTTTTAATACATACATTATTTATGGTACATTCAAGAATTTTTAGTATACCAGAAGTATTAGAACAGATTTTATATTTTTTATTGATAGATAAATCCCTCTATTCTGCTTTATATATTTTCCAATTATGGTACAGATGCAGTACTCCTATTCTATGGAAATGAGTTGAACTAAATAAGAGCAATATATGAAAAATTTTTATGATAATAATATGGGAGCAGAAGCCAGTTTATTACTTGAATGTAACTCATTTAAAAATTCCATATTACTATCATCTTTCGGATAAAAAATTCAAAATTATTGCAGATTTGCTCCCAAATATTGTTCATTTAGATTTCGCTTTTAGTGAGAAATTTAGTGATAAAACATTAAATCAAATAGCAAAATTATATTTCTATCTGAAATATCTCAACTTGACGGGATATAGTGATGGATTAATAACTGATAAAGATTTATACGCAATCACAAATTCATGTTATAAATTAAAATATCTGAATATCTCTCACCGCAAAGAATTTCTGAAATAGTGATTTGGAATGTTGTCCAAAGCTCCAAGAGTTTGATATTCGTAAATGTAAAATTTCCTATACAACTATCAAGAAAATTGAACTATATCTTAAAATAAAATATATTAATTCAGATATCGCTAACAGATATTTGAAAAGAATTGGTCAGATCAGATCTGTTGATTTGAATTTTACTAATATATAGATTATTACAAAAAAAAATTATAGCTTTGGAGTTGCGATCCAGGCTATATTAATCAGGTATTGTGTTTTATTTTTATAATTTTCGAATGGTAATGGAGGAATCAAGAGTTCTTCTTCTTCCCAATGCACATATCCAACACGTATCAATTTATTATATGTTGGTCCATTGATTGTAATCATGCGATTTGTTTTGGGGTTATAAATTTTTGGCTTTCTCCAACGATTAGTCAATTTTGATAATTGCTCAGCAGTAATTGTTTCTTTGTTATATTCCAGCTCTTCGATGTACATGATTGATGTGTTACTAGTTATGAAAATGATAATAGTTAATTGTTACTTATGAAAATGATAAGTTTAATTGGTTATTTCTCAAAGACCTGGATTATATATAAAAAAATTAATGATAATACTTATCTAGTAATTTGCTTTGCAGGTATAGAAATTAAGTACGTAGAGTTTCTTTTACATTCTTCTGTTTATAATATCTATATGCTCTTTCCCTATTTTGTCCACATGGTACACAAAGCTGAACACTCGATTTAGTCTCTCATCCACATTCTTTACATGGTTGGGGAATTATTATACCCTTTCGAATTTTGAATGCATGGGGAGCACAATATTCCCCTCTCGCTGGGTTTTTACATAAATGAATATCTCTGACTAATAACCAATTACAAGACATTTTCAATTCACAAAGTGATTATACTATTCTATTATCACTTTCATATTTAAAATCAAAGTAGGAATGAAGTATTGACTAAAATTTTACCAAATAGCATTTTAGATATCACAAAAACCAGTATATGAATATAAATAACATAGAGTTTGTGTAATATTTTTATTGGAAAATTTTATATTAGCTAGTTTGTAGGAGCAAAAAATCCTCCTATATTGAAGCTCCTACCTGCAAAATTTATCTTATCCGCTCCTTATCGACTAAGCAATTACCATAACATATCATTTTTCTGGAGTATGTTAATCATTTTTTTCTATTCCTCATTAATATCGAGCCATGAAGTTGTGATTCCATCTTTCTCAAGAGAATAGCGAATTATTTCTTCACTTATCAATCTTTCTTGCACTGACATGTCTATATATTTATTGGGATCTTCTTCAGTCTCCTTTGCATAACCACACATTTTCGCATCAGTCTGTATTTTATCATGAAATGCTATGGAATCGAGCTTATCTTTATCAGTTATAGTAACAAATTTATCAGGATCCTCGCCAAGTTCAATAGCTTTTTGACGGAGACAGACTTCTCATTGCTCCCGGGTTAAATAATCAGATGGATATGTTTCCAATTGGGTGTTGACTTCTTCATTGCTAGATTTTAGTTCATTATTCGCAGGTAAGTCAAGAGATATCTCGGGCTCATTATTTACAAGTCCAGCTTCATCACTCACTAATTTGATAATTTCCAGAGATTTGGATTTATTGTCTATAACTTCTATGTTTATAATCTTGGGAGGCAGAGATATATCGATAGACTTGGATGATGAGCAACTGGAGATTCTGATTGATCTGTTATAGAATCGAAGAGATCTTGGGTCATTTTAGTAACTGTTAGAGCTGTTAATTTTGTATTTCTAATTGATTTTGATGAGATTGAATGGCATCAGTAAGATTTTGTTGTCGTTTAAGCAAAGAGACAAATCCATTCATGAATTGTTGAAATTGTTATTAATCCATTGTGATGTGTGTGTTGGTGAATGTAAAGTGTGAGTATTTAAAGTGTGTGTGTAAAGTGTATTTGTAAAGTGTATGTATTATAGCTTTAATAACCTTTATCCACTGTTATCAAGTTGTAAGAATACTTTCTTACATGAAAAGTAATAAGATAAATTTATTAATTGTTGTAAATAAATTATATCAATTGAG